ATATTTCGCTCTGGCTCTTACCAGCACACAAATGCATGACGAGGTGGAAGGCAATCCCACTCCTGGAATGCCTATGTCTCAAGAACAACTACAGGAGATGTTGTGGTTTTTCCGGAGAGGAGATTGTAAGTACCATAAATAAACATGGTAGATGGTCGGGGCTGCAGGGGAAACGAACGTCTGGTTGTGAACCTTGTTGGCTAGTGGCAGATAGCAAGGGGAGTTACTCCAACCGTAGAGGATGGCCAGTAATGGTTTTCCTGTCCCATGAGAGTTTTTGAGTTTCCAAAATTTTTTTTTTACTTGGGTGATTTTTAAAACTGGCTCTTTCCCACCAACAATTTCAGTGTTGATAAATCAGCCTTATCCCAAAACATGTTTCATCAGAAAATTCCCGACTAGCTCTCTCCAGAGGTAGCTGCCTATGTTACAAACCTACGTCCTTCCTTGGCTTTAGCAGGGCCTCTAGAATCAAGAGGCAAATACAAGTGGGATGGGGGACATCTTATTACCGAGATCTCCCTCACAAATGTCTACATCCCACTTGGAAACGGCTCCAGTGTGCTGGTCGACCTTTCTGCCCAATGGGTCTTCCAGCCATTGAAGCAAAGGTCTGTGATCATGGGCTGCTTCAGCAGAACAGGAGGCACGGATCGATGTGGGTTGACCTGAGGACATACGGTCAATCCCACGCCCGCTGAGCAAAGCTCCCCTTGACTTTTGTGGTGCGGGATCAGCGTCCTAGCGCCCAACGGAAAAAGCCAGGCTATCCTGGGCTGGAGCTGGCTCCAGAGACTGGTACAGAAAACATTGGTATTAAATCCAAAAAAGAGTGTGCAGAAGAGCTCAAGCATGCCATGGAGTTTGATCGTTAAATATGAGCTTTTAATGGGCCAAGTCCCAAAGTCAATGGAGTTTTGCCTGAATAAGGACTTCAGGTCTGGACCGCTTGTGATTACTTGCTGATAACACCCAGGGACAAATAACTTCCACTCGCTGCTTCAGCCCTAGACTCCCTCCTTCTGTTTGGGTAAAAGCCCATTCACCCCTTTCGAGGTTTAATTCTGCCAGGTCCTTTACACTCCTGACAAGCAGCTGCCTTGGGGGTGCTCCTGAGTTGGGGTACACAGCCTAGGCGATGTGTCCTCAGGAGCAGGCCATGTAAGGGCACTTTAGAGATCCTGCAAGGTCACAGGGACTACCCTGCGAACTGTCCTGCCTTTCACAACACTTGTGAAATCAATGGGGGCAGAGGTGCCAGCGAGCCGGCGGTTTCTCAGGTCCTTGGCTGACTGGTTCTTGCTCATGCTCTGGGTCTAACTGACTGTCATAGGTGGAGTTGGGAAGCAATGTTCCCTCAGGTCAGATTGGCAGCAACCTTGGGGTTTTTTTCCCCACCTTCCTCTGCAGCCTGTGGGTGCGGGTTGCTTGCCCCGATTACTTCGGTATAGCTCATTAACCATTTCCCTGCCATTGCAGGGGCCTGGGGCAGTGGTGCACTCTCCTGTTCTTTCCCAAAGACACCCAACAGTCTAGCCTCCTGTAGGCTGTCATCCTTTGGTCTCATTTCGGTGGTTGGGTCAGTGTGCAGGTGCAGAGTGGGGCTGGTGGCCTGGGCTCTACAGGAGGTCAGACTGGGTGATCTGGTGGGCCTTTCTGGCCTCAAACTCTATCACTCTTTGAAGGGAGCTCAGCACAGGCCCCTTTGCACTCCCCTAATCCTGCAGCTGGTTTGCACCAAACTCATCCACCCCGCACAACCCGGAGCACCCCCGACAGAACTTGGCTGTAACATGCTTGTCATAATGGCTCTGCACACGCTGACTTCCCTTGTCAATGCTTCTCCCCCCCAGCATCCACGTGGAATTACTCCATTCTAGTCCTGTCCTTTGTGGTTCTGTTTCTGGGCCTCCTTCTTCTGGGAATAAATATCATGGCAAACAGGTAAGACACACAGAACTTTAGGGGTACAGGGAGGCTGTAAACCCCACTGCTGGGGCACAGGGGAGGACAAGGCCACGGAGACACTGGGGCAGTGCCTGGAGGAGGGACAGTTGCTAAACCCTGTACAGAGTGCCCCATGGATGAGCTCCTGAGCGGGACAAAGCGGTAATCTCCTCAGTGCTTGTCCTTCGAGGCAGCCGGAGTAGGGATACTGGCTTCCCCCTCCTCAGGTGCACAGGCTCTCTGCATGTGTAATGCCAACAGAACCCAGTTGTCGGCGGGTGGGATTGAACCTGGGGCCTCTGGAGCTTAAATCATGAGCCTCTCCCGCATAAGCTAAAAGCCAGCTGGCAAGCAGACTGATTTAACTCTCTCTTTAAGTGGTCTCGGTGCCACTAGCTGGGACAGAACACCACACCCAGAAGGTGTGTGGGTTACACATGCTCCCCCCGACACCCACCCATCACCAGCCAGGACACGGCCTATGGGATTTTGGTTGAAGAACATGCTATTTTAAATGGGATCTTTATTATGACTGGTTTTAAGTTGAGGTGATCCAAGAAATCATTCCAGTGGGGGTCCACACAAAGACGGGGCCATTTTCAAACCTATTCCAGTTCTTACTTACCCACTAGGTTGCTAATTTGAATGCACTGCACATCTGTAGTGACTGAAAGCTGTTGGCATCTGATGGCTGCCGAGTGGCCAGCAGAGAAATTATTATGATTGTGTGCCAAAAAAAATCACTTGCACATCTGAAATATTAGTTTAATAAGAATTAACACCTTGCATTTCCATCATGCTTTTGACCTGTTTCCTGATGTACCGTGCGAAGGCCGGCAATTGTTATCCCTGTTTTATGGATGAAGTAAGTGATTCCTAGAGAGGTTTAGCATCTTAATGCCCCATTCCCACAGTGGAAGAAATCCCAGATCTGTGCTCATTCCTTTAGCCCAGGAAGGAAGGCCTAGTGGTCAGTTCAGTTTCTTGTTCTGCTCTACCACCAACTTCTTGTATGACCTTGGGTAAGTCACTTAGCCTTTCAGTGCCTCCGTTTCCCCACACATAAACTGGAGATAATAGCATGTCTCTAACTCACAGAGCTACTAGGCAGAAAGATCCATTTAAAAAAGATTGTGAGGAGCTCAGATACTCTGAAAACGGGGGCTGAATAGGTACCGAAGATAGATAAAGCTGCCCCTTTGCCTCGCCTATTCAAAATAAACATTCACACCGTTTGGTTTCTAGAGCAACAGTATGATTGAATCATTGCCAGATACAAGCATCAGAGAATGTGTCAACCCTCATAATCCAGGTTCTGCTGGAATAACAAGTATTACACCACACTGCTGGACTAAAACACATTGGCCGGGTACCACAGAGCTGAGAATGAGTCTTCTCCTAAAGCAACAATCTTTGCACCTCACTCAGGCTATAAGAAGAAGAGTTTCTCTTCATCTAAAAGAAAAAAGAAGCAGCAGCAAAGCATTAGGCATTTGATTTAGACCAGGGGTGGCCAAACGTACTGATCCTCCGAGCTGCCTACGACAGTCTTCAGAAGTTCAGGAGCCCTGGCGCGCCTGCTGGGCTTCGGCACCCCAAGAGGCGCCTACTGCGGCTCAGGGCTTCAGCCCTGCAGGGAAGGGAGTCCCGGGACTTCAGCCCCGCTCCTGCTGAAGCCCGGCAGGCACATCCCATGGGCATGAAGCCCTGAGAACCCCCCTCCCCGTTGGGCAGAAAGCAGAGGTGACGTGTCGGGGGGGGACGACAAGTGGGGTCGTGTGCCCCCCTCCCCGATTTTTGCCAGGGTTTGCTGGCCCCACTCGGTCACCTGGTGCCGCCAGGCCCCCTCCCTGCACAGCAGCTGCTGGAGCCGGCAAGCTGGGAGCTGCGGCTGTGGGGAGAGGCCGTGGCAAACACCTGGGAGCTGTAGGGAGGGGCCGCTGAGGGTAAGGGGGGCACGCCCGGGGGGGCACATGACTCAAGCTATTGGGGGAGGCAAAGCTTTACATTGTGCCCCCCCACTCTCAGCAGGCACCAGTTGTCTCTGGCAGAAGCCCCGAGCTCCCCCCCGCCCCCCAGTCTGGTCGATGGAGAAGGGACGGGGGGGGGGGCTTTGCGAGCTGCACTTTAACTGTAAAAGAGCTGCATGCGGCGCGCGAGCCGGGGGTTGGCCACCCCCGATGTAGACAATTTGGTGTCCGCTGTTTTCTCGTTGGATTCGTTGTAGTCATATAAACGGCAGCTGTGGGTACTAAATCACTTCACTCCACTTCCACGCTCTGGGGTTTCTAAACATCAGCAGCTAATGTACGCCCCGTGCCAAGCCGCGCATACACCCGTTTCACACTGAGCCTGCGGTTTCACTTCTTGCTTCTTTTTGTCTCCCTCCCTCCCCATTAGAAATAGGAAGATTATCCGCATGTATGAACAAGCTGCCGAAACTGCCAAACCAGCTGAGCCAGAAGCCAAGCCACCCTTTGTGGATTTGAAGGAAGACAATAACTTGAATCCTTTAACAGAAGATTTGCTGCCGAAAGGACAAAGCCCAGGGGAGGTTTTGGTTCAGTGGAAGGATGGCAACGTTACAGCCCTGTATGCAGACAAGTCAGAGGAGGACGTGTAACAGCGAGCGCAATCCGAGTCTAGACCCCAGACAAATAGTTCACCAAGTGTCATGTATCTAAATTCATGCTGACTGGAGCTTGGGAAGTTAAGCACAGTTTATCAAGGGGAATAAAAAGAAATACAGAGGAGATTCCTCAGCATGAGCCGCTCTTGACTCAGATAGTCTGGTCTGGTCCCACCTGCTTTGATGCCAATATGGCCTGATGCTTACCTGCTGCTGTCATTTGGTTCCAAGGTTACTCCTACATGCCAGCTTTGCCCACCCTCTCTCAGCTGTCACTCGCTTCCACTGCAAAACAATTATATGAGCCAAACCAGACAAGGAAGGGGGGAGGATTTTCCTGTGGTCAGCCAGGGAATGTGTGCTTTTAAAAAACTCTGCGAAGGTTCACCGAGAAAACGCTGAAGCTAAGCAGATGTGCTGATGCTTCGTCAAAAGTTGCCTTTATTAAAATATTTTCCAAAGTAGTTGATTGAAATTGAGTAATTATAGATACATGACTTTACTCTGCAGAGAAGTGCAACTCCATACAGAAGCAGAGCAGTTACTGTCCCCAAACCAGGTACAAAAAGGAAAATAAAGTACAGAACCTTTCTTAAGGAAAATGGCCTGGTCATTGTGAATTTTGCCCTTGGTTGAGTGTTATTGAGCATTCTCCACCGAGAGCATGGAATGGAGACACCCACAAATAATTTAAGAAAAATGGAAAATATATCAATCTTATACACAAACGATTTTGTTTAAATCCACCCAATAAAGGAGTATTCCATTGGCAAAGTCTTTGAAAAGGAACATTGCATTGTAAAAAAAAATGACAAAATATGGTTTTGGCACAAGTTATTTCAGTGCGTAGGCATTGTTTTTATATACCTGGAAGTGTTTATTCTGCTGCAATTATATTTGCAATGTTTTTTCATTTCATTTAAAAACCTCACCTTGCTTATTGCTTAAACAGCAAAATGCAAACACTGCTGATTTGATTTGATATGCATGCCATCAGCTTTGTTTGAATTATTTAACTCAATGTGTCACTGGATGGGCAATATACATTTATAGACTAGACTCCACCCTTTGTACGTTTCTGGATTCTAGTTGCTGTTGTCCATACCAGCTGCAGTGTGCTAACATTCCACTAGAGGGGGCTCTGTGGTCATTAAATGAAATGTATGGGCCTTGGAGCACTTTGTGTCAACATTTTGCTAGCTTTCGCTGAACACAATACTAGCAATAAGGACTTTCATCTGCACACGCGCTGTAGCAAGTTACCTGAAATGGGATTTGTAGATCTCTAACCAATGGACCTGTTCCTGCTCCCATGGAAGTGAAGGGGAGTTTTTCCATTGATTTCAATGGGAGTCGCACAGGATACAAACTCTGGATTTGCAGACCAATCCAGTTAGGGCTGTAAATACATATCAGTCATTTTAGGGGACAGAACCATAGAAGAACACTGACATTTTAACAAACACTGGAAATCTAGGAAATTTTCAGTTACAGAAACCCTTTAAAAACACTACAAAAACCCTAATGTTGGAACGTATGGAAATTCAGAGTCAAGATACCCCAAACAACCTTATCTTCGACATGTATCTCTGACCACCTTCTATCCAGATTCATCAGACATTATGCCTTCACCCTGCAGATCTTCAGCACTGACAACATGAGCCAAATACTACAGCTTGTCCGGAGTACAGCAATTCCACGTCATGGTAACTTTCGAGGTTGCAAAGAGAAAGAGGCCCCTGGGATGTGAGAGACCTGGGTTCATGTCCCTGGTCTGCCAGAGTCAAAGTGATCCGGGAAGAAAACTCTGCTGTGAATCAGCTGTGTTATTCTCCGACCCAGCCAGAAGCAGGAACTTTCACCCCGGCCTCCCTCATCCCAGGACAGTGCACTGACAACTCACCTGCTCTCCTGCAGGTCAGCTGAATGCCTTAGCTGTCTTAGAACTCTCTCTATCTAAAAACTTCCTGACAAAAGTTTGGTGAAAACCAATACGTCTCCATAAACTATCCTGGCTCTGATGAAGTCGTATATTCCAACCAGCTCCACCAAATATTCCCACTACAGGGTACCAAACTGGGCATTACGTTTGTGCCCTCTACATGATCACTGCGTTTAGATACTCTGGACCCAGTTATTACATGGGCCACACCCCTTGTCTAATCAGCTAGTGTGCATTTTTGGGAGCTGATTTTTCAAGAAGTGGTGATACACATGTATAAGCAGAGGATCTGGCCTCTTGGGAGAACAATGTCAAGTTTATTTACCCTATGCACAGGGCGAGGACATTCAGCCTCTCATCCCGCTGACGTGACGAATAGAACATAGGCTTCATCTCTCCCTCTCTCTGTCCTGCTTCTGTTATAACAAATAGCTCTACGAACACCCAGTGCAAATGCTAGGACTAATGTGCAAATATCATGTCAATACTGAGCTACAGGGACTGGACAAATAGTCAGTGATTTAGAAGGAAGTTATGACAAAGTTTCAGACTCTTCTGCACTCAATCCCCGGCCTGTTCGCTGCATCCCTACCAAAGTGCTTTGCTGTAGTTCTAAGGCCAAGTGCAGTGTCAATAAATCACGGAAGATGGTCTGTAAGCCACTGCTGCCATGGAGATTGTCAAATATGCCACTGCAGAAGTTGGAGAAGGTTCCTTGGGATGCCAGGAAATCCAGTGGCTGCTCCTTTCCCATCCCTTGGCGGGGCCAAGGCTTAAAATATTTTAAAGCCCTTCAGTAAGGTCAACGTGGGAGCTTTCCTCTTGCTTTGAGCCCGTGACGACTTCACCGTGACCAGCTTGGCTTGTGCCACGGAGGGAATCTCTTTGTAGTTGACCGTGGAGAGAGTGTTGAGCGTGCAGCTAGCCAGGCCATGCTTGGAGGCCATGGCAGTCGGGGCAGCAAGGTGGAGGAAGGGCCTCTCCTCTGTGATGAACAGCGGTCGGACCTGCAGGTTCCTCTCCATCTCCCTCCTCACTTCCCGCACCGCTTCATGGAACACGTGCTGCACAGCCTCGAACTCCAGGCAGGCAGAGACCTCGTAAAACAAGCACCCGTGCTTGGCAGCTAGAGACACCCCTTCGGCCTTGGTGACCTGTCTGACAAAGGAGAACAGGAAGGGGTGTGAGCCAAGCAGAGACCACAAACCCTGACAGCTGATGCGCAGGTCGAAGGCACGGGCTCAGGGCCTGAGATCATCTCTCCCTCTAGTGGCCAGCCCTAGCCACTGCAACAGCCTGATACAAAGTGGCAGCTCATCGAGAGGGCTTGAGCACGAGATAAAGGAATTTATGCTGAAGAGCCTGATCCATTTAAGTCAATGAAAAAACGCCCATTGACTTCATTAGGTCTTGGTTTGCTTCACACTAACTACCCTATTGCCTGGATATGCACAGCCACAATTTATTACACTGGTACCCTTCTAAAAGGAGGGTTCAGGCCCCGATTCAGCAAAAACTTAACATTAAACATGTGAGTAGTCCTATTAAAGTCAATGCGTTTAAGCCAGTTGGACTATTCCTATGCTTAGTTAGGCATGTGCTGACTTAGGGCCTTAGATGCCACAAAGCTAGGAAGTATGGTAAGAGACTACCCTGGCTTAACCAGGAAACCTTCAATGATCTGAAACTCAAAAAAGAGTCCTACAAAAATGTGGAAACTAGGTCAAATTACAAAGGATAAATATAAACAAACAACACAAGTATGTAGGGACAAAATTAGAAAGGCCAAGACACAAAACAAGATTAAACTAACTAGAGACATAAAGGGTAACAAGGAAACATTCTACAAATACATTAGACGTAAGAGGAAAACCAAGGACAGGGTAGACTTGTTATTTAATGAGGGGTAGAAAACAATAACAGGAAATGGCAGAAGTGCTAAATGACTCTTTTGTTTCAGTTTTCACCAAAAAGGTTAGGAGCGATTGGATGTCTAACACAGTGAATGCCAGTGAAAATGAGGTAGGATCAGAGGCTAAAATAGGAAAAGAACAAGTTAAAAATGACTTAGACAAGTTAGATGTCTTAAAGCCACCAGGGCCTGATGAAATACATCCTAGAATGCTCAAGGAGCTGACAGAGGAGATATCTCAGCCATTAGCGATTATCTTTGAAAAGTCATAGAAGATGGGAGAGATTCCAGAAGACTGGAAAAGGGCAAATATAGTGCCAATCTATAAAAAGGGAAATAGGACAAGCTGGAGAATTACAGACCAGTCATCTTAACTTCAGTGCCCGGAAAGATAATGGAGTAAATAATTAAGCAATCAGTTTGCAAGCACCTAGAAGATAATAAGGTGATAAGTAACAGCATGGATTTGTCAAGAACAAATCATGTCAAACCAACCTAATAGCTTTCTTTGACAGGGTAACAAGCCTTCTGGATACGGGGGAAGTGGTAGCTGTGGTATATCTTGACTGTAGTAAGGCTTTTGATACAGTCTCACATGACCTCCTCATAAACAAACTAGGGAAATACAACCTAGATGGAGCTATTACAAGGTGGGTGCATAACTGGTTGGAAAACTGTTCCCCAAGAGTAGTTATCAATGGTTCACAGTCAAGCTGGAAGGGCATAATGAGTGGGGTCCCGCAGGGATCAGTTCTGGGTCTGGGTCTGTTCAATATCTTCATCAGTATTTAGATAATGGCATACAGTGTACACTTACAAGGTTTGTGGATGATACTAAGCTGGGAGGGGTTGCAAGTGCTTAGGAGGATAGGATTAAAATTCAAAATGATCTGGACAAACTGGAGAAATGATCTGAAGTAAACGGGATGAAATTCAATAAGGGCAAATGCAAAGTACTCCACTTAGGAAGGACCAATCAGTTGCACACATACAAAATGGGAAATGACTACCTAGGAAGGAGTACTGCAGAAAGAGATCTGGGGGGTCATAGCGGATCACAAGCTAAATATGAGTGAACAGTGTAACACTGTTACAAAAAAAGCGAAGATCATTCTGGGATCTATTATAGGGTTACCATTTGTCCGGATTTTCCCGGACATGTCCGGCTTTTCTGAGTTAAAAATAGCGTCCGCGGGGAATTTGTAAATGTCCAGATTTCCCCCCCATGCAGAGCGTGCGTGGCTGACAGGGCAGCCAGCTGGATCGTGCCACTCACACGGGGCTCCGGCAGCGAGAGCCCCTCCTCCGCTTCCCCATCCTCTCCCCTGCTGCTTGAGATCACTCCCCTCCTCCCCCTCCCCTCCCTGCATTCGTAGATCGCCGGACGTTCGCAACGGGCCTCCAGCAGTCTGGAGCTCCTCCCACCCCCGCTGCCCAGCGCGCCGCTCCGCAGCACTCTGCGAGGGCGGGAACCGGGCTATGCGCTCTGCTGGGGAGCGCGGCAGTGTGTCCGGCTCTGCACGGAGCCCGACACGCTGTTCTGAGCGGCACGGTAAGAGGGCCAGGGGGTCAGAGAAGGGGCAGGGGGGTTCTGGAGGGAGCAGTCAAGAGACAGGGAGAGGGTTGGATGGGTCAGGAGTTCTGGGGGGGGGGGCTGTCTGGGG